CAGGTGTATCAAACTTAACATTTATTATTAAAAATACTTGAACAAAAATAAATATAAATATATTATAAGATAAATTATTTCATTATTATTATAATTAAATAATATAATATTATTTTATGAAATATAATTATAATAATACATTGAGGTTAGTTGACGTAAACAAAATGTTGAATAGAAAAGGTGTGTATAAAATGTATCATTTATTGTCTTCTAAACAAAAATATATATAAATACATGTTATAATATATTATTTTATAAAATAATTATAATACTCTATATTGAGGTTAGTTCATATTGACAAATTGTTAAATATAAAAGGTGTGTATCAAACTTCATCATTTATTATCTCCTAAACAAAAATATATAAACACATGAAACACATTATTTTATAAAATATAATTATAATAATATAATTGCTGAATTATTATAAACAAAATATTGTATTAGAAAAAGGTGTGTATAAAACGAGATCATAAACTAAAGGATGGAAGAAATACACCACTAACGTTTTTATTAGTATCGTCAGCATCCAGAATAACTCAACTCTCTGGGTATATCTGCGATTCTGTCTTTTCTCATCGAGAAAGATAAAGATAATAATAAAAATAAGAATCAGGTTGCTTGGAACGTTGGTTTCGTTTCGAAACGAATATACCCAACCATTGTGTTGTATGTTTTACCAAGGGCATTATCATTAACTATCATTTTTAGAAGGGCTTTTGCAAACAGTCAGACAGGAATATAAAAGTTATAACTAACTAACAACAACAACAACAATACTCTAACGATGTTCATGGTTTATTGCACTTGATGCAACGATGTTGCACTCGAATTGAGAAAGTGAAAAACATAGTATGAGAAAGAGAAAGAGAACAAGGGGGAGACAAAAAAAACTACTATGGGAATTGTTTGAGAAGTGCTCTGAAAATGAAACAGGGAAACATAAAATAGGGGAAAAATATAAATGTATACACACATATATATATAGTTTATTAATAATTTTATATATTTATAATCTATAATTATTAATATTATAACTATATATATTATACTATATAGTTATATTATTATTAATATATGTAGTATACACTATATATTATAATCTAGTTATATTATTATTAACACTATAACTATATATAATTATAATATTAATAATTATAGATTATACCAATATATAACAATCTATAATTATACTAATATACACCTATATATATATACTATATTATACATGTGTATGAAAGAAGAGTCTGAGAGATTTAGTCAAAAGTAGGAGGGGGGGAAGATATTAGATAAAATTCGTTGTAAAATGAGTGGATATGATTTAAAATGCAACATGTATATATATATATATATACATACATACGATGTATAAAAACACATTTTCATTATTTTTGCATCTTTTATCGCGGAAGAAATATATTTATAACGATTGGTCAGCATTTCATTATATGCATCGTCCAGTTCTCTTTTACAACAACGTAACTTCACGGGGCGTTTCCCCCTATCAGAGTGGTGAGAGGAAGGGGCAAGGGGTGATAGGGAATTGCTTCGAAGGCTAATAAAATCAGTAGTTAGCTTTTACATTTCATTCGAATTTCATCCTGCCTTGTTGAATGTGTTTGTTTGTAATACATAAAAATATGTTAAATTTCTATTCGAAGCATGATGACGATCATCATCGTTCTGATCCTACAACAAACATGTTTTACAAAGTGGTTACAGTTTTGATAGAATCGTACGTAATTGGTGAATCCATTTTTAATTATCTTCCTCAATCCTTCAACAAGGTTGTCCATCTTTTTTTTTTTTTTTGTGAATGGACAACGAGCAAGTTTATAATTAAATTTGAAAATGTGTTTCAAATGATTTTAGTTTAGGATGATTTGTAATAAATTTTAACTTTTTTTTTGATAATTATTTCTTATTGTTTCAGGACTCGTGAAAGTGGTAACAACAATAATAATAATAATAATAACAATAACAACAACAACAACAACGATACTTCAGTAGGACAATTAGGATCTACGCGTCATGGACCTCAGCTGATGAGCTTGCTTCGTTTATGCACCACTGTGCACCAACAACAACAACAGCAACAACAACAGCAGCAACTGCAACTGCAACAGCAACAGTCATCCTCATCTTCATCCCAGTACAGTAGTTTGCAACCAGAAAAAATATTTTCAAACCAATCGTCGGAACTTTATCAGGTGGAGAGGATAAATTTGTCACAGGAAATTCCTACCGACGAGCTGGCTCTATTAGCTAAGCTGGAGGAAGCCAATAGGTAACTAAATTTACATTTTGAATAGGCTTCTTAACGATTCTCCTTCTTCTTCCTCTTCTTCTTCTTCTTCTTCGTCTTCACTAGGTCTCTGGTCACGTTTGATAGAATTTTATTACTTAAACGAGAAATTTTGAGGCATTTATTTGAACAATTTTTGCACAACACAGAATTACGGATAATAAAATAAAATCTTATGAGAGAGAGAGAGAGAAAGAGAGATGTTTCCTAGAAATTGGATTGTGTTTTGAATCAAACGTAATTGGAATGTTTTTTAATACTATTTTCAAAAATAGTATATTAAACTATTTTTTTTTTAGTATTAATTTAATTTCAATTAAATTATTACTATAATTGTTAATTTCATTTATAATTAAATATATTTATATTTATTAATTATTTAAATTATTATTTTGATTGTAGTAGTAATAATTAATTTAATTATTACTCTATATTATTTAATTAAATGATTACACATAATATTTAGTAATTACTTAATATATTTAATTTAATTTATAAATGTATTATTATAAAGTGGAAAATTCAAATATAGTTCCGCCATGTTTTACCAAGATGGTGGAACACTTTTTTTAAATTCTAACCTGTTGCAAAGATTTAAACAAGAAATTCAAAATGAATTCTTCATATTATAATAACAATTCTATAGAAATGCATTAAAAAATTGCATTATTATTTGTTAATACATTGTAAAAAATAATATTAAGTAATAATTTAATTTAAATTTATTATCATAAAGTATAGAACACATTCAAATAATTCCGCCATGTTTTACCAAGATGGTGGAACACTTTTTTGATAATTTTAACCTGTCTCAAAGATTTAAAAATGAATTCTTCAATTAATGAAATTTGATTATTAAAAAAATAGTCATTGAAATGATTGTTCTTTTTTTTTACAGGCTGATAGAATCGGATGCAAAGTCACTTAACTCACTTCAGAGTAATCATAGTAGAAAAGGATCGGACACATCACAGGTGTCCGTGGCGTCGGGGGGTAGCGGGGGTAATGGAGGAGATGCTGTTACTGCTGCTGCACCCCGACGTCATACCACCACTGCAGATGGGGAGGAAAACACGTGGAGTCTTTGGGGTCACATAGTTGCCGATTGGGATTATCATTGGAAGAAGAGAAAAGATTTTGTCAAAGAATTTGTACGACAGGGTATACCCCATCATTTCAGGTAAATTTTTAGAATAGAATGTACACAATTATAATAGATAAAGAAATAGAAATAGAGATAGAGATAGGTGGGGAAAAGTATGTGTGTTGTTTGTATGTGAGAAAGAAAAAGAGAGAGAGAGAGAGAAGATCACGTTGTACATATTGTATATTACATAACTATAGCGATGATGTTGCAAAAGTAGGACATATGTGAACACGCATATGTATATAGTCATTGGTCGTTCATGTTAAACAAATTACAATATGTAAAAAAAAAAAAATAGATTCATTTAGTACTACTTTATATGCATCTTCTTTTTCTAACATTTAATTTGATTATATATTGTCAAACGGAACTTGTAGATTAATATTAACAGATTGAGTGCCACGCCAAATTGTATCGGGATTGTCCGTGGCGCCACGATGTGGAATACACCGGTCATATGGCCGTGGCCCCCATGGCGTCACAGTCAAGTTAAGTGCCGGTCACCGGTGACCCCACCCCCACCCCGTGGTACTCGACCTGTTAAACGTATATCTAGAGATTGATCAGTATTTAAAAAAAAGAAACCATTTTAGGGGTATCGTCTGGCAATTGTTGAGCGGTGCACACGATTCTCCCGTTAAAAAGCAGTTTGCAGAATATATCAAAGCAACGTCAGCCTGTGAAAGGATAATAAGGAGAGATATAGCAAGAACATATCCTGAACATGACTTCTTTAAGGAGAAAGATGGTCTTGGTCAGGAGAGTTTGTTTAATGTTATGAAAGCTTATAGTCTTCACGATCGCGAAGTGGGTTACTGCCAAGGTTCGGGATTCATTGTAGGATTGCTTCTAATGCAGGTGCAGTATTTGTTTTCCCTTTATAAAAATAAAGGATGGATATACTTCTGACAATTATCCAAAATAATATCAAAAAAAAAAAAAAAAAAGAAAAGGAACAATACAGCTGACGACTTTATCCTTGTTGTTTTCAACGAATCCCTTTTTTTAACGGCTTGTTGCAGCAAATGCCAGAGGAAGAAGCTTTCGCAGTATTAGTAGCGCTTATGCAAGAGTATCGTTTGCGAGATATGTTTAAACCGAGTATGGCAGAATTAGGGGTGTGCATGTATCAATTAGAACATTTAGTAGCCGATACGCATCCCGAACTACACGCTCATTTCACGGCTCAAGGTTTTCATACTTCGATGTACGCCTCATCTTGGTTTCTCACGCTGTTTACCACGGCACTTGGATTACCCCTCGCCTGTCGTATCTTTGACGTATTCCTATCCGAAGGAATGGAAATTATCTTCAAAGTTGCTCTGGCTATGTTGCATTTAGGAAAGGAGGATTTACTCAGTTTGGATATGGAGGGTATGTTAAAGGTAAGGGATGATTATTTTCACACGATTGAAAATGTTCAAGTGTGTGTTCAAGAGTAGTAGGTGTATTAAAGTTATTAACACAGGTTTACACTATCTACTTATCATCTACTTATCTATAGATTAATATAAATTTTTATTTGATAACACTTGGACGTGTTTCAATAAGAAAATCGATTGTTAATGTTCTTTTAATGTTCATGGAATTCTTGAATGATGAAGGACAGTGAAAATGGTGTGTTAATACTTTATTAAGACGGCGTGAGATAGTATGTAACTCGTGGTACTCATCGCGTTAGATCGATGTGCGAGACAGCTTTTGTGTCAATGAAGTCACGCCTACGCGTTACGTAGAAGTAGGTCGGTTAGCAACAATATGTATTTCCATTTTACAGATTACAAAACGTTATCGTAAAACATTCATATTTTTGTTTGATTGAAAATAGAACAATATCATTTATTATAAATTGGATATTATATTGATTATATATATATATATTAATGACAAATATTTGCTAAAGTTTTTTCAGAAACAATTACCAAGCAAAGCTGAAAAAGATCCAGACGTACTTATGAATTTGGCATACGGTATGAAAATCAATCCTAAAAGGATGAAAAAGCTTGAGAAAGATTATACCGTGCTGAAAATGAAGGAACAAGAAGAGATGGTTGAATTGCGAAGATTAAGGGCGGAAAATAAATTATTAAGACAAAGGACTGAACTTTTGGAAGCAGAATCTGCTGAATTAGCTGACAGATTAGTGAGAGGACAAGTTTCACGTGCTGAGGAAGAGGAAACTGCGTTTGTAGTGCAAAGGGAATTGGCTGCCCTTCGTCACACCCATCTTGAGACAAGTCATCAACTTGAACAGGCCCATGATGAACTTAGATCATTGTCTCTTCTTTTAGAGGAAAACGTGAACTCGCGACAATCCTCGTTAGACGAGATCCTGTTGAAGCAAGAAGCGTTGATGCAAAAGGAAGAACTGATACAGTGCCTGCAAGAGGAATTAGTTAGGGTCAGATTAAGTGAAGCTGAAAATGGTGCAACTATCAGAGAATTAAGAGCCAGAATACAGGAATTGGAACAAGATAAAAAGACTTTGCGAGAATCAACTCCTGACAATTCTGTTGCTCATCTGCAAGAAGAACTGATTGCTGTTAAACTCAGAGAGGCAGAAGCTAACTTATCTTTGAAGGTAAAAGAAGGTTACATTTCATTTATTAGATATTTTATTTGTTTCAATAAATAATCATTATGTATGTTAATATTGGTTAGGATCTTCGGCAAAGGGTTATGGAATTGAGTGCTGCATGGCAAAGGCATTTGCAGGAACATAGATCTGCCCAATCCGCTCCTGCTGCGGATTCAACGCCGAAGAAATTGCTATTTTGGGAGAACAGAGGTCACGAGGTACAAAAGTATGAGGAAGATCTGATGACAACTAGAATTCGTGAAATGGAAGCTCTTACTGAGGTTAAAGAACTTAGGCTTAAGGTCATGGAATTGGAGACACAAGTACAAGTTGCTACTAATCAATTGCGTAGACAAGATGATAATGGTAAAGTACTTAAAGAAGATTTAGAGAATGCACTTGCCAAGGAAAAAATTCTCGTTACTAAATTAAGAGATGAACAACGTAAGTACGCCGATTTGGAATCAAAAATGAAAGATGAGACCATGATGGCCAGGATACGTGACGCTGAACATGCCCAATTAGTTGCTGAGCTCACACAGAAAATTTCTTTGCTCGAATTAAAGGTTAGTTTTTGGTATTTTATACATTATTATTATTATTAATTTTCTTATTGATTTCATTTTACTTTTCCTCCTCCATTTTCAATTGCAGAACGAAGAAATGCATGCTGAGGGTGAGCTAAGAAATAATTTAGATGACAGTGAAAGAGTTAGAGAACTTCAAGATAAAGTTGCTGAATTAAAAGCTGAGGTAAGAAGATAATTATTGTTTGAAAATAATTTGAAAAAAAAAAAAAGAGAGAGGTTATGTTGATTATAATTGCATCGGATAGAAGCAATTTTTTTTAAAGTTGCAGTAAGGGGTGAAAGTTTTGTCATTTACGATTACGATGACAATATCTCTGACAAACTTGGATAATATTTTTATTCATCATAAATCGCATCTCTCATTATTATTATTATTATTATTATTATTATTATTGTTATTATTAGATAATGTGGTAAGTTAATTATTTTGTCTGCATATGAACGACAATAGACCACGACGTGTAATTTTGACAAAGGAATGCAATTTAAAGACAAATATTAGGATTAGTTAATTATTAATCATTATCATTAATAATCATCAAGGTTTTACGTACAAATATTTTATCCCAAAAGTATATCTAATTTGACATATGAATAATAATTATTTTTTTTTTTTATTACATATTTGAATTAAAAAAAAAACAAAACAAAAAATAGAAAGTAGCTATAATTGTAGGAGCCTGTAGATTAACAATTGTTTATTTTTTGTTTTGTTATTTAGTATCCCACAATATTTAAACAGGACACATAATGTGTCTGAATTAGAAAATATTAAGCTTCTTGTAGTTCGTAAATATTTAAAAAAAAAAAAAAAACAAAAGAGAAACGCCTCCCCCCCCTCCGCATCGTATCTTCTCGTAATAATAGTGAACGGAGTAAAAAATGTATTAATTAACAACAGCTACATACAAAACAAACTAATTTTTGTTATACATATACATATACATATATATAATTATATTATTTATTTATTTATTTGATTCACAACACATTAAACAATTAATTAATACTTTGAGAAAAGGAAAAAATATATAAAAGCTTGTATTAACAAATTGGAATTGGAAGATTACGTAATATCACTTATTTAATGTTTTTAATGAATATTTTTTAAATTAATGGTATTGCTTTTTTTTCATATGCATTTATTTCAATGTTTTTTGCCTTCAAAATTTAATTGCACATCATCCTATCAATTCACATGAAAGATATTTATTTATATATATTTCTATATGCAATTTCAATTCAATTTTGTGAATAATATTTTTTACAATGATGACAAATATGTTTTTTTTTTTTTTTTCTCTAAATTTTTGTGCATGTCTTTTAAATGTTGACCTGTACAAAAATCAAGATAATTAATGTGAAATATATATATATATATATATATCTATACACACATATGGACACACATAATACACACACAGATATATATATATATATATTTTTTTTTTGTTTTTATTTATTTATTATATATACATATAATTGTTTCATTTATAATTTTTATGTTAATCCAAACACACAAATAACTAAAAAAAACAAATCTTCTAGCAATGAAAAATTTGTAAATTTAATCAATGGGGCAAACAAACACACACACACAAAAAGAAAGAAAGAAACAAAAAAAAAGCAAAAATCAAAAAAGGTATTGTAAATTGTGCTTATTTTCTAACGTAACATTAATAAATAATAACTGTGTTACACTAATAAAATAATGTTCATGCACAAATTGCACCTCTTACTGCAATGTAACGCTAATTTATAATCCACGCTTTAAGTAATTGGACATATTTTGCTTTCAATTAAATATATTAAAAAACTTTACATAAAATAATTGTTGAATATAATCTAAAAATGATGAAACAAAATATATTCGGGTTTATATATAATGAGTGTTTATATAAAAAAAAATCTAATCATTTTAAATAATTTTCATTCGCATAATTTAACATCTGAATGTTATCTGAGTTTTGAACGTTTGGTGGAAGGGTTTTTTTTTTATTCCTTGTTCTAACAATCCTTTAGATTAGATACTTTAATTACTACATGTTGACACACACGTGGTACACGAATATTATACTAAATGCATTGTAATTGTTTACAACATATATTGTTTACTTATCTATATATATATATATACTAGGGGTACCCCACCACGCGTTGCTGTGGCTCACAATCAGTCCGATACTCACGACTCTTTGTTAATAAACAAATAATATTCGATTATAAATTGAGATATAAACTATCCTATCTTTCAAGTTGGATGAAATTGCACACAGTGTGGAAAATTTGATTAAAATCGGTTCAGTAGTTTAGGAGTCCATGGCGGACAAACAACGTGACACGTAATTTACATACATTAAGATATATAAATATAATAATATAATATTAATTATATGATATATTATATTAATTTATATTATTAATATAATTATATTACCCCAAATATTACTCATATATAATTTATAAAAATTATAAATTATTAATATAATCTTCTTCTTTTTCTTTTTCTTTTTCTTTCTTGTTTGTCCGCAATGAACTCTTAAACTACTGAACCGATTTTAATCAAATTTTCCACACTGTGTGCAATTTCATCCAACTTGAAAGATAGGATAGTTCATGTCTCAATTTATAATCGCAATATTATTTGTTTATTAACAAAGAGTCACAGACATTAACAAAGACGTGTGTATCGGACTGATTGTGAGTCACAGCAACACGTGGCAGGGTACCCCTAGTATAATATAATATATATATATATATAGATTTATATTTTTAGCATCCATTATTAGTTGCAGTTGGTATACATATATAATATTTATTACACCAACACAGCTTTTGTGACATCGTGTGTGAAAATAATGTGATTGGCAGGTACCTCTATGCATTAAGGGATGCAGTCAGTAACGTTCTATCATTTATCGTTTATCGTGACATTGGAGAGACTTCCTTTTAATATAAATTTCATATACCATTGTTGAAATATAATATATGCCTTTAAAAAGCAAGAATAATTCATACAGCTTTTTTTTAATTATTCATTAATAAATTATATTTTTCTGTTTATATTATTATTAAATTATGATGAATTTTTTTTTTTTTTTTTGATAAATCATGAAATTAAAATGCTTTTATATATTGCGTCTGCGCTGGTTTATTATATTAAGCTATTTTGACATATTATCATTGAAACACCATAGTTTTGTCTTTCTATGTTTATTATTTACAAAAGTATGTTTAAAAAAAAAAAAAACAACGTCGTTAGATTTAAATGCTTTTAATTAGACAGAATATATATATATATATATATATGTAATATTTTTCTATAATTTTGGTCTGTGTGTAAAAGAATTATTATTATTATTAATAATAATAATAATAATAATAACAACAACATGTTCATATATATAACAACATAGTTTAAGTAAGACATCCCATATCAAATAATCATCTTGTATCGTTCATTGGCCCTTTAAAAAAAAAAAAAACAAGAAACAATGTTGCATTAGTCAATGGGAGTTAGCACAGCATAGAGAATATAATAAAATAATAATATTTATTTTTCTATAGAAAAATGTTGAAAGATTATATTATTTGAATTTAATTATGATAAGTGAACAATTATATAGGATATAAACAAAAAAAAAAAACAAAAAAGATACAATTGTTTTATCTTTGTTTTTTATTTTTTTTTTTTTTTATTGGAAGAAATGTGTCACGCAAAGTGTATAAAAATGAGAACAAGAACTAAACTGCTAATCCTTAGTGTATAAAGGTACCAAAAAAACAAAAAACAAAAGAAAAAACCATTATGTTTAATAATACTAATAGAAGGATCTAATCGTTTCTGTAAAACTAACCCTCTACTGCTGTGTTATCTCTGTCTCCTTAGTTCCCTACGCCAATCACCAGCCCGGAGACTGAACCTTGGCGCTGGGTCGAGTAAGTCTTTACCCATCTGTAAGCATTATTTTTTATCATTTCATATGCGTAGCATGGTGTATATATAATAACCCTTATATATATTTGTTCAATTGTGTCAAACAACATATTCCTCTAGTTGTTTATTACATACATTTTTATATTTATTTGATTAGTTTGTATTAGTCTGATGATGCTGTTTCATTATATTATGTATAATATATTTCTTTTGAAGTCTTTATTATTATTATTATTATTATGTTTTATTATATGTAATATAATATATAATGTTATTATGTAATTAATATAATTAATAATATATTATTATATTATAGGTTATATTTCATATAATATATAATAATATACTATTGTATTATAGGTTATATTTCATATAATATAATAATATACTATATTATATTATAGGTTATCTTACATATAATATAATAATATATAATGTTATTATATATAATTACTATAATTAATAATATATTATTATATTATAGGTTATATTACATATATACATATGAACATATACATATACATAACATATACATATACACATATATGCATTTATAAAAGGAATATGTTATGTTTCTCTTATCTCATTGGAAATATGACACATTTAGTATAGTTCCAAGAAAGAAACGTTTTTAGTTTGTTTCAATTTTTTTTTTTTTTTGTTATTCTCAGTTTGTTTTTACTATGTTTACATTCGTGTCAATTTAGTTTAGACTTTCGTGATAAGATGTTATAAACATTGTGTATATAAAAACAAGTAATGCAATTTTCAGTTTATTCTATATACTCGTGTTACTTTATTTTTCAGGTTATGTTATATATTTCAATAATATAAATGATAATATATTAATTAATAGGGATTATTGGATATATTTGATGATAATAATAATAATACTGCATGCTTTATTAATATTGCATTATATTATTATTATTTTACATAATATTACACATATATTTTATTTATTTATATATATTTGACATGTTTCTTTTTCTTTCATCTTTCTTTTGACTTTTTTATTTATTTTTTTTTTTTTTTATTTGTATCATTTATTTATCATCATTTTTCATTTGAATATATTATTTTAAAATTTGCACGATTAATTATATATTATCACATATTGTTTATAACAATGCTTAATTAACAAATGCTATTAATAAATCATAAGCATAATGAATGTATAGTGGCATTGTGTGTGTTGGTTCATATCACAAATACAATAATTGCATGCATGCATCATCGTCGTTGTCGTTATCGTTGTTGTTGTTATTATTGTTGTTGTTTTTTTTGCACCATATTGCATAAAGTGCCATTGTTTATCAAGTAGATTTATTAAAACACACGTATGTATAAGTTAAAATCAATTCGTAGGAAAATCTCATTAATCAAAGTACATTCATCAAGTTTCATTTGTTCATATTATTACAATTAGATAAATATATTATTATTATTATTATTAATTAATAATCGTTTAGGATGATCATATATATATATATAATAAATAATTTGTTACGTTCTTATTTCGTATAATATAATTAAAGTTTTTTTTTTAATTCATAATTTGTGCAGTGATACAATACAGAGAAATATTTTGTAGGTTAAGTGATTATATCAATAATATACGAAATAAAATCGTACAATAATAATAATAATAATAATAATAATAATCATTGTCGTGGATATTTTAGCGTCATATTTTTGTTTTGTTTAGGAAAACCAAACAAAAAACAATATCATTTAATATCATCCCCCTACCCTCATACACACCACACCCTAACCTCACTTGTCAATTAATTCCCAGAGTATGAAAGAAATTTGTGTTGTTGTTTGTGTTGTTTTATTTTTTATAAATCAAGGATGATAAATGAAGGATCAAAACAAATGATGAAGAAGAAGAAGAAAAAGAAGAAGAAAATTATGATGATGATGATGATGATGATGATGATGATTTATGTTAAATTATTATTATAATTAAACGAAATAAATTAAATTGTTATTAATAATAATAATTGTAGAGAGAGAGAGAGAGAGAGAGAGAGTTTGACATTTGATATTAATAATTTTTATTTTTTTTCACAGGTCATGAGGTTAGAAAGTTGGAAACAACGTTGGACAGGTCATGGTGATCATCAACCAGTTAGAAGTTTTAGCATCGAAACTGAAAGTGAATTGGACGAACGAGATCTTAGGATTTGTCTGCCAGATCATATCAACACGACCACTCCTAATTCACCAGAGGTATAGGAATTCTATCGTCTACAAATGTTAGACGATATCATCTTCTAGGCAGCTAATTATTATTATTATTATTATTATTATTGTTTAAAACAATACTCTCCTCCTCATTTCGTCCGAGAAGAATTGAAACTGTGAATGAACATTTGTTTGTTCTTATTTGTATTTTTTTCTCTCTCTCTCTTCCTCTCTTTCTCTTTCTCTTTCTCTTTCTCTTACCTTTTTTTTTTTCTTTCTAACTTTGTATGTTTTTCTCTCTCTTTCTTATTTCTATTTCTATGTCAGTTTAGAAAAAAAGATAACAAAGTGTTGAGGAGCACTTTTTTAATACGTAAATATTTGACTCACCCTATATTAGAAAATAGTATATATATATATATATTGATTTGATTCATTATGTGTTATTAATTTATTATATAAAAATGAATCAAAACTTGCAATTTTGTTAATGAAATAATTTAACTTTTCAAAGTGTTGAGGAGCACTTTTTTAATACGTAAATATTTGACTCACCCTATATTAGAAAATAGTATATATATATATATTGATTTGATTCATTATGTTTTATTAATTTATTTAAAAAAATGTGTAAAGGTGGTTACACTATTATATTACAAACAAAGTAACTTTAATTTAATTATTATTATTATTATTATTATTCGTATGTTTTTATTATATTATATAAGTTGTTAAACTGACTAGTTTAGTAGAATTTAAAAATAAGAAAGAGATTAAATTTGAGTGCAACATGGTGGTGGGTCTTACTATTTTTATTAAAAAATAAAAGTTTACTTTCAAAAAGTGTTGAAATTTTAAATAAGAAATAGAAAGATTATATTTGAGGTTAGATTTAAAAAAAAAAAAAATAACTACTTCCATTTACTTGTTGCATTTTCATTTAAAAATAATTAAAAAAGAGAGAGAGAGAGAGAAAGAAACAAACATAGAAAGAAAAGAAAACAAAAAAAAACCAAAAAATTAAGAGAAACAGTTTTTTCTTGTTTTTTTTTTTAAAGAGATGAGAGAAAAAAATATATATAAGAAAAAAAAAAACATTTAATTGAGAACGTCGTAGGTTGCAAAAAAAAAAAAAAACAAGAAAAAGAAAAAAGACGATCACGTGATTTTATTGACATAATGACGACGTTATTAGATTATTATAATCAAGCTTTTCATTTTAACAAATTATCATCATGTAAATCATCTTCATTTTTAATTCGTCCATTTTATTTTTTTTTATTTTTTTTTTATTTTTTTGGTAACTTTTTTCTCCATCTTTGTGATATTATTCGATATTTTTTTGTCTTTCTTTCTTTTTGGGGGCAAAAGTGGGAGGGATATAGGGATAGGGGTAGTAGGAGGGAGGGGGGGGTTAAAGGAGGGTTTATTTAAATCATTTAATAATACGATTGAGATCCGTGTCCGTCGTCGTCGTCGTCGTTAGAGTGTGTTAAACGTTTTTCTACGTACGCTTTATTACCGGGGATAAATATAATCGTGCTACTAACATAAGTTATTGATAGAGGTTGCAGGAGGATGTCAACCATTACCTATGATTCGTAGCAGTGACTATTATCGAATAGAAAAAATCGGTGTTGTTGTTTTACCTATACATTGATATTATCGAAAGAAAAAAAAAACAAAAAAAAAAAAGAAAATGAAAAAAATAAATATTAATAATAACAATAATAAAAATGAACGAGAGTAAAAATTTATCATCATCTCGTTTTTAATAAATTGTTCATTTGAACAAACTTTTTTTTTTTATTGGAGGGAAACGTGTGCCGCCATCTTGAGTTTCCATTTTTTCTTTTTTTTTGAATTTATCAAAAAAGAGTTTAAAAAGTGAATGAAAAGAAAAATTGTTACAACCAATGACGTAACGCACGTTTCCTTCTTTATTTGTATAATATATTTTATAAAATAATAATAATAGTAATAATAATAATAACAACGAATTATAAAACGTATTATTATGACTGTCCATAATCGAAAGGATTATTGTGTATTTAAAAAATATTTCATATAAAATCATTCCAAATCATATTTTTATTTTTTATTTTTTTTAATTTTAAATAGTAGTCAATTTGACTCTTTTTTTTTTTTTTCTTTCGATGAAATTATTTATAAATGACATTACACATACAATCATACACATATATATATTTTAGATATTAGTATATTTATACAAATGATCGTGCTAATATATATATATATATATATATGTATACATTATTTTGTCATTTTTATTTTTATTTTTATTGTATTTTTTAAACTTGAAAAGCTTGATTATAAAATTGTATACCGATCGAAAATTGTGCAAGTTTGATGAAAAAAAAAACAAAAACAAAAAAAAACAAATACGTATTAAATGTTATTATTATTTTTATTTATATTTTATTTAATTTTTATTTTATTATATAAATATATATACACGTTAGATTTTATTAAATTTCAAAATTGAGAGAGAGATATTTAAATATTCTATTGACTCTATTATATTATAATTTATTATTTAAAAAAAAAAAAAAAANNNNATTAAAAAAAAAAAAAAAACTAATAAAAAAAAAACTTCGAAACTTCGATCGAATTCGTGAGAATGAAATATATTCGATTTAAAAAAATAAAATTAAAAGAAAATTATTGACTAGCAAAATAATTAATTAATTAATTAAATAAATAAATAAATATAAAGGAAGATAATTTTTAAACAAAATTCAAGAACGGTTCTCATTCTCACACGTGTATGTATATACATATATATACACACACGTGCGTTTAAGTACACACATCAACAAAAGTTTTGCATCATATCATTTACACGTTCATGAAATTTGGAAACCAAGTTGATGATGCAAAACTTTTTTTTTTTTTTTTTGATGAATGTATTATTAAAGTAAACATGTAATTTTAAAAATTAAAAAAAACAAGGTGTAATAATGTGTAATATGCATAGAAGATAACTCTACACATAGAGCAGACAAGCCAGCATAAAATCTGTCGGTGAAATAAGAAAAAGAGATAGAACATGTGAGGTTGATGTTGTCTCTCTCTCTCTCTCTCTCTCTAACTAGCGCTGAGCGGCGCATGCGCATTAGTCTGCTGCTGGTATCGTGTACGATAAGCACGACAAGTCTAATGCGCATGCGCCGGTACTGTGTACGATAAGCACGACAAGTCTAATGCGCATGCGCCGGTACCGTGTACGATAAGCACGACAAGTCTAATGCGCATGCGCCGGTACCGCATGAGTTAGAAAGAGACAACATCAACCTTTCGTTTCTTACTGCTATATTCATGCAGAGACATTTCTACATTCACTTATACAACCGTCTATGGTTTGTCTACTGTATTTGTAATATCTCTATGGTAATCTGACGCACAATATATATATATATACAGTAAGAAAGATAGAAAGATAGAAAAAGAGAGAGAGAGAGAGAGAGAGAGTGAGAGAGAGAGATTACATTTTACATGAAGTTTATAATTTGTAATAATTTGCAATTTTATAATATTAAGCGTGTTGTATAAGCGACGAATGATTATTATTATTATTAATATTATTATTATTATTATTAGCAATATATTATATTATACAGTTTTAATTATAACACATAGTATATCGTATATACGTAAGATAGAGAAAGAAAATCCGAGATTGTGAATAATGTGTTTTTTGTTTTTCTCATGTTCTTCAATGAAACAATTTTGATTAGAAAACAATTGCAGATTGCAATTGCAGATAAAAACTGAGATAACGAACGAGATAATCGGGAATACTTTTTTTTTTTGTATGAAAAATAAAATAAAACAAAACAAAACAATATAAAAAGTACTACTGATGAACAAAAGGAAACAAGTTTAAAAAAAAGAAAGAAACTGCGTGTAAAAGACAAAATTTAATATAACCGTATAACTCGTTCTTTAACAGTGAACTTCCCTAGGATGTGTGATAAATAACTACGTAAGTAAAATTGGCGTTTTGAATGTGAAATCATTTTTTGTTAAATTTCGAGATGCTAGAATCAGAGAAAAATACGAAAGAAAAAAAAAACAAAAAAAAAAATAGAAACATAACCAAAAAAAAAGAACAAAAAGACACATAATTTAAGAAACTGCTGCTTTGACTTGTTTTCATCAAAATTATTTGATTTTTAATCTACATATGTTAACAAGTATTAAATATATATAAATATATATATATATTATATTGTAATATAGTATATATGTATGTGTATGTGTATATACAGGGTGTTCCATATAACTGTATTCAAATCTTTGTGAATCATGGTGTACTAGTGTACTCTAGTTAGTTAACTTTGTAATTAATAAAAATTATAATATATTAAGGTTATAAATATAAGGTACCAATTTGAAAAAATACAGGTAACCTTAAAAAAACATTTTACAGACTTTTTTCTTTTATATTGCAATGTATAGTCAATCAAAAACACAGTTCAAGTTTGATTTAAATTATTGTATTTATTTGTTAGGTTATTTGAAGTATACTTGAAAAATGGTGGCTACGTAAATACAGTTATATGGAACACCCTATATATATATATATATATATATTTATATGATATACAATTTACATAGTTTCTTTTTTAATTTTTATTCTTCGCTTTGGCCTAACTTTTCTCTTGTACGCCAATTTTTTTTATTTAACTGTTAATTTGTTTAATTCATCCATTATTTTTAACTGTAAATATATAATTATTGTCATATTATATAAAATGATTATTAGCGTGACACATTGTAGAGAAAGTAAAGTTTGCACTTGATCAATTGAGAATTAGATTTGATCTATTATTCAGATATTTATCTTCTCATAAATTTATAATAATAATAATAATAATAATAATAATAATAATTTATAATTATTATTTGCTCATGTGCATGCATGCGTGCGTGTGACAAAATGGCGTGCATGTGACAAAATGGCGTGCATGTATTTTCAAAAATAGCACGACACACTAATGACTCATTTATTCTTTGAATTATTATTATTACTATTATTATTATTATTATTATTATTATTTATTTTATCTATTACTTTGTTCTTGTTCAATTATTTCTCAATTAACTTTTTAACTATTTGACTTACGTATTAGATTTTTGATTGACACGTAAGAGAACTTGTATTAATGAAATTTGCA